AGACAGTTAAGAGAATTTGCACGATGGCTCCATTAAGCCTACTGCCCAGGGTGGTCAGAACTCTCTCAGATGAAGAAATTAAAGCCATCTATAGTCATATGAAAAAATGCTCTAAATTGCTATTGATTAGAGAAATGCAAATCAAAACAACTCTGAGGTACCACATCACACCCATCAGATTGGCCAAGATGACAAAACAGGAAAATGATAAATGTTGGAGAAGATGTGGGAAAATTGGAACACTAATGCCTTGTTGGTGGAGTTGTGAAATGATTCAACCATTTTAGAGAGCAATTTGGAGCTATGCCCAAAGGGTTGTCAAAATGTGCATACCCTTTGACCCAGCAATAGCACTTCTAGGGCTGTATCCCAAAGAGATCATACAAATGGGAAAAGGACCCACATGTACAAAAATATTCATAGCAGCTCTTTTTGTGGTGGCAAAGAATTGGAAATTGAGAGGATGCCCATCCATTGGAGAATGGTTGAGCAAGTTGTGGTATATGAATGTAATGGAACACTATTGTGCTATAAGAAATGATGAACAGGCTGACTTCAGAAAAACCTGGAAAGACTTGTATAGTCTGATGCTGAGTGAAGTGAGCAGAATCAAGAGAACGTTGTACATTCCCTAAGCCTTAAGGCCCTTCTGACTCTGAAAGATGAAATAATGGGCAACCTCCAAAGTAGCTCCCTACTACTAGGCTTGCCTAAAATTTGGGGGGTGGGGGTGGGCAACAGACTCTCAGGCTTGGAAAGTGGAGTGATGGGCCATTAGGAGAGGAAAAGCGCATGACCTGAGTGGTCTACACTCTCACCTTGGTGAAGACATGGTAGATACAAGGGGATATCACTTCCTTTGTCAGTATTCAACAACTTACAAGGCCTCTGGGGCTACTGTTGGCAAGGGCGGACTAGTGCTATCAGTGTGGTTCCTCGCTGCCTTGGACAGCAGAGATGGGCTGTGCCCAGGCTGGCATCTGAGTCCCTAGTGGAGCCCCTTGTCATCACTGGCATCCGTCTAGCCTATCTTATGCTCCAGTGGCTCAATGATTTGACAATTTTTAAAGAAAGGTTAGGGGCTCAGATTCTTAAAATCTAGCCAATAGCTCACTAATGTTCAGATTCCTTAAGAGTCTGGCCAATATAACGGATGTTCTAATAAACCTTGTCTTTGGCTGGGAAAAAAAAAGAGAGAATGGTTAGGGAGAAGACCTCTTCTTGTTTTTTGGATAGCGGATCAGCTCCAGGACACAAGACAGAATTGGTGGGAAAAGTGGCCATGCCACCACTGCCTTTCACCACTGGGTTTAATTGATCCAGACCAAAAGGTACCCTGGAAAACTTGTAAGACATGGAGTCACCCTCCTGCCAGTCTGTATTTGCCCCAAGAGAGCTGAGCTGAGCCTCAGCCTTGAGTCTTGAGTGCCCTGGCCCAGCTGCCAGCTTACTGAGCACAGAAATAATGATGTCACATCTGGGGCTGCCTTCCTGAGCAGCCACTTGGAGCAACCTTTTGCCCCCAACATTCATACCCTCCCTTGGGTCATCAGCAAGAAAAGAGAGAACGCGCCTTTCTCCAAGAGAACATCCTTCATTCTGCAAGAACATTTCTTTTCCTCCCCAAGAGAACATCTCTCTCTCCCCAAGCCAGGGCAAGGACCTCAGAACACACACACACACACACACACACACACACACACACACACACACACACCCCTCCTCCTCCTCCTCCTCCTCCTCCCCCCACTAAGACCCACTTACTTTGAACTGGTACTACTGCCAGACCCTGAAGGCAGGGAGGCCTCAGAGGTCAGAGGACTCTGAAAAGTGGTCACTGAGGAATCATAGGAGATAGACCAATTGGAGAAAAGGCTGTATTTCATCATAGGTTCCCCAGGTGATGAGGGGAGAAAAGGAGAGCTGAACTGCACCTTGATGGGAAAGAAACTGGAGGACAAAACAAATGAAAACAAAATGACCAAATGTAAAGTCCCATTAGAAAGTCCACTTAAGCACTCCAAAGGCCACTACTTCCAGCAGAGGCAGTTCCTATTTGTTCTCGTGGAAGGGGATGGGACTCAAATGCTAGCTGGAGAGAAAAGACTTTGTCATTTAGAGAACCTATCCCCATATATCTGGCACAAAACTAACACTCTGAGGCACATTCCACACAGGTATATTTACTGGAAGGCACTTTCTGTGGTTAAGAAACCAATTCAAAGAAAATGGCCCTGGGACCTATCTAAGCATACCCCCATCATTTGGAAGTTGGGGGAACTCCATGTCGGCCTACATCCCATCTCTCCCTTCACATGCTCACTAGAAGCAAACGAACAGGGTCAGGTAGAGCCCTAGCTAGTAAGGGCTATGGGCTCACTAGTAACCTGTGTGCTTGGGGGGCAACTGAGTAGTACTCAACTGCTTTCTTGAACTGCTCAATTTTATCTTCTGTCCTAGACAAGACATTGAAATGCCATGAAAGGTAAGGACCCCAAACAGTTGGTTTCTCCAAATTATATCAGCATCTAAGTACTAAAGAAAATCTAGTGGAAAGGACAGACCCAAAGGTAGTTATAGGACCCTGAAGCACCCAAAGGAGATGTGGAAACCAAACAGTCACAAGAGATATCCTGGCCAATCATTCCACCATTAATCTGGCACAGGACTAGATGTGGGCCAGAAGAGAAAAAAAGCAAAGTTCTCAGCTAGTTAGAAATCACTTCAGGCACATGGGAATTCCTGAGGGGCTAAGCAGCCCTAGAGAAGGACAGGAAAAAAAGTCTCTGCTCCATCAAAGCTACTGGAGCACACAGAGGCCCAGATGCCATCATGACCTCCTCCTTATCCAAAATTCCCAACTTCATTAATTGGGGATAATTTTCCATCCACAAGGCTCAGGGGAGAGGAAACAACACAGCCAAAATTTCCTTCCCCACGCTGGAGAGAGGGAATTCCAGATCCAGGGATGGGACTCGGGGAAATAGTGCCATCACGTTCCTAACCCTAACCTTAGTTCAAATGCTGAACCTGGCCAACACCACTCAGCGGAAGCTCTGAGAGGGAGCAGGTCTAAGCCTTTGAAGACGAAGTGTCCTCTGGTGTCCAGTGGGGGTACTACAGCCTTCAAGAATGCTGTATGGCTCCCACCTCAAAGAGGAACCAACCACAACTCAGTGCACACTCTTTAATGGCTAATTAACATAGTGAAGGATGACCTCTAGGCAAGCTTAAGAGGTACAGCCCACTACTAACAAAAAACGAGTCCAATGAAATTGTATTCTTAGGATCCTAGGGGGATATCATAAACAGTTTTCACTGGTTATTAACGGAAGTCATGGTATGGATGATGGGAACTCAAGCTTTTGGCTGATGATTCAGAATTAGAGGGATCCTCCAGTTCAGAAAGAAAGAAAGAAAGAAGGAAAGAAAGAAAGAAAGAAAGAACAAGCCAATTAGAGCTATGATGACAACTCCCCAAATGCAGGTGTCACGTTTATAATGGAAACCACCTGTCAGAAATCTCTTTGGCAAAGGAATAAAACCAAAGAGATGCAGATACAGATACTGGAAAGCTGTCAAGAGGACAGGTCCAGCTGCCCCAGCCCCAGACCCACAGGAGCATGCAGCACATACTCAAGGCCACAGGCCTTTCAAGAACAAAGTAAACTGCAATGGAAGCCATGGTGAAGTACCTGTGACTTTGAAAACATCCTTGGCAATGACATCTAGGTTCGAAGGGGCTTTGATAGAACTGACACCATATCACAGTGGGGAAGAACCAACTGATGCACTTGAACCCAGAAAAAAATCAGAGAGGAACAGAGAGTCAGCGCTTATTAAGTATCTATTATATGCTAGGTCCTGGGGACACAGACAAAACTTGAAGCAGTTTCTGCTCTCAGAGTTTCCATTCTACTAGAAGCTGTTATTGTGGGCACAGGGACAAGGCAAACAGACAGGAGAAAGAAATTTATACCCAACAATTCTCTAGCGCTGGTAGCATTATAAACAAAGCCTTCAAGTCAAGTATGAAGGACCATAGAGAAATCAAGGTATCCCCAAACCAGAGCGAGCAGAATATGGGAGCAAATTACGTTCAGTGATGCTCCAAAAGACTCCAATGAGAAGCATCCAGTT